GGTTGGCTTCTTTCCTTTGACCTTGCTCTCTTCCTTTGGGCCTCTTTTTCAGGTTCCTAGTAGTGGCCCCTCACATCTCCAGATTTACATCCTTTAAGGTCCAAGTTTGGAAGAACAGTGTCTGTTCCTTGCAATTCCCCTACAAATCCAGAACCTTTCCTGATTGGACTCATCGGTGCACTTTGGCTGCAGGGAAAGTGTGATGATGATTGGCTAGAGGGTCCTCTGCCTTCCCCAATCAGTGTTGGTGAGGGAAATCAGGGGCTCTGTTTGGCCAGGCCTGGTCACATGCTCTCCTGGAGACCCGGAAGTCTGAATGTTGGTGGGGGATAGTTTCCAGAAGAAATTCAGCAAACATTAGAGGAGTAGAAGGTATATCATTCAGCTAGGCTAGGTTTTGCTGAGAAGCGACACCAAAATCTCAGTGGGTTACTGCAGACCGCTGTAACCAAAGTTTATTTCTCACTCAGGCAAAGTCTAGGGGTCTCAGGCAGCACTCCAGGGCAGTCGCCCTCTGGTGGTGGCTTAGGCTTCCGGGCTTCTTCCATCTTCTGTCTCCATAGCGTGATCGGCCCAGTGGGGGAAGGGAGTGTGCTGTGGTCTGGAAGTGACACTTGTCATTTCTGCCCCCAGTCTTTTGGCCAGAGCTGGCCAGAGCCGGCGTGAGGAGTGGAGGGAGGATTGCAATCCTCTGCATGTGCTTGGATGAGTGACCGACATTAGTGGGAGATGACGCAGCCACGCGGGGGCGAGCGCAGACAAGCAGTGCCTGCAACCACTGCCCGCAACCACTGCCCGCAACCACTGCCCGCAACCATTGCCCGCAACCATTGCCTGCAACCATGGCTTATCAAAGGCGGCCTGTAAGGCCTCCCCTTGTCAGATCCATCCCTTTCACCCCGCCTGTCTCATGCCAGGGATGATGCTGAGAGCCAGTAATGTATCCGGTAAACTTTCAGAGCCTTCCAGTGCTGTGTCCCCAAAGGCTGAGGAGGAGTCATGTAATGCCATATTTCTGAAGACAGGAAGAATATTGCTGACACAACTCAGGCCGTGGATTTGTACTCGACCCTGTCCCACGCACTGCTCTGTCAGGCACGAGGCCTTTATTGAGAGAGAGTCACTTAGCATTTCTGGACATTGAAGGACACGAAGTACTCGGCGAAAGTTGTATTTTCCAGACTTAGATCTTGACACAGTTTAAAATGTTTCCTTGACGAGGTGGGAAGCATCTGAGTTTTGTACCTAAGTTATGACTTCATTCATCTTCTCTGTCAGTAGTAAAGATAAACTTTAGTCAAGGAAGGAATTCTTTTGTGGTGCTCTTAAAAAATCAAATCAGAGAATGGTACAGGGGCTATGGAACAGTGTGGTGGTTCCTCAAAAAATGAAAAAGAAAATTACTGTATGATCCAGCAACTCTGCTTCTGGGTATACACTCTAAAGAAGTGAAAGCAGCGTCTCCAAGAGACACCCGCATCCCCACGTGCACAGCAGTGTTATTCAGGGTAACCAGTGTCCCTGGTGGATGTCGTCCCAGACAAAATGTGGCCGCCACCTACAATGGAGTATTGTCAGCCTTCAGAGGGAAAGAAGTTCTGACACATGCTATGATATGGATTAGCCGTGAAAAAGTTATGCCAAATAAAATAAGCCAGAAACAAAAAGATACGATATGATTCCCCTTTATGAGGTACCTGGAACAGTCAAGTTCACAGACGGAAAGTAGAGTGGTGGTTACCAGGGGCTGGGGGTGAGGGGTGTGGGAGTTACAGCTCAGTGGGTACGGAGTTTCAGTTCTGCGGGATGAAGAGAGCTCTGGAGAGACAGATGTGCTGATGGTCACACAGGGATATGAATGAACTTAATATCTGAACCACATACTTAAGAATGGTTAAGATGATAAATTTTATTTCACATATATTTTACCACAATGAAAATGAAAAAACTCCACCCCCCCAAAAAAAAAACTTACATGTTTTGCTGTAGGTTGCTTCCCACATTTCCCGGTGCTCCGTGGGATTAGCTGAGAGACCAGAAGCTGCCAGACGTGCCAGTGGGTGTCCTGTCGGCCACACCGACCCCTGAAAGGCACTCGGCTTCCAGCTCAGGGTGGCTGCGTTGAGACCAGGCTCTGGCCAGAACGTTGGCCAGAGCAACAGCGCTGTCTCTCTCTTTCTTTGGACCATTTATTCGCTGTCAACATCCATTAGATGCGAAAGGAATTCACTTTCTAAACTCATACCCACTCTTTTTCCGCTTTGGGAAAGTACCTAACTGACGAGTTAAGGGCCCTTCCGTTTATATTGTAAAGTCTACAGTTTAGTCTACTCACTCTCTTTGGGAGTGGTTGCCATTCCTTTCTTTTGCCTTGTAAGTGTTTGTTTTATTCTTAGCACTTTTTTGAAGTGGTTGCAGGGCATGCTGCGATCCCTGTTAAGCTGCTGATATTCTTCAGTTTATTTCGAGTGATGACAGACGTCCAAGAGTTCCGGTGACCGTGTTCATGTGATTGACACACCTTGGGCTCTCCGTCCGGTGGGGGCGCATTCCTGGGCAGCTCTCGGGGACGCGCTGGCCAGCTATTAGCGATTTTCCATCGTGGGAGTGTTTCTTTGAGAGCTTCGCATATTCTTCTTAGGTAGTAGAAAAGGGGAGAGACTTTACTGCCAATGCCATTTCTAAATATAAACTACTTATTTCAACAGGCTATTAGAACTTCCCTTGGAAAGTTTATTTGTGGAAGAGCTTTTAGGCACTCTGTAAGTGATCCCGCTTCACGTACTTCAGTGTGTGGTTCTACCCAGAAAACAGCATCTGCCGTGACGGCCCCTTGATTTCGTAAGGCCAGAGGTCTTGGACGTTAGATGCCCAAGATCTCGGGACTACTGGCCTCTCCCTTCCTCAGGACTAGTTCTTGTCAACTGTCTGCCTTCAGATTTCTTAAAATGTTGCTGTTTCCTTCCTCAGTTTAGTTTTATTTGGAAAAGAAAAAGAAGCCAAGGCTATTGTCTAATTAGTGTTTTTGTCAAAATCAGTGAAGAAATGGAATTAGTGAATCTTGACCATTTGGGTTTTCAGTAGAGTCGGCTGTATCTAGGCTGTCAATTCATTCGCCCATTTGTTCACTCATGCCTGCCCCTGCCTTCACTGGCCTGGAAATCCTGTGTGGGGATGTCCAGGCTGGGTTTGAGCTTAGGATAATGAGGCAGCCTCACTGGACACCATGGGTAGGTTCAGGGGTCAATCTCCCTGAAATTTTCTGCAAAATCTTTGTTTTCCTGGGGAAAGGATCCTAGAGCTTCTGTTAGTTTTGTTTTCTTTTTTAAAAAAATTATTTTTTTATCCCCATTTGAGGACATTTTTTCATTGATTTCAGAGACAGAGGAGGGGAGAGAGAAAAACATGGATTCAAGAGAGCAGCATCGATTGGTTGCAGACTGGGGGTCATACACACCCGCGATCTTTCATTTAGGGGACGATGCCCCAACCACTGAACCACACCAGCCAGGGCGTGTTAGGTTTTCAAAGGGTTTCATGCCCCGAAACTGTAAGGGGCCTCTGAAATGCTCAGAATTGCACCTGGGACCGGCCCCCAATTGGAGCTGTCACCTTGCCAGATTGGTACCTTTTGGGTATTTCAGGTGGCCCTTAGAACACAAGTGGATAACATGGACCATTCCTAGTCAGAAAGAAGTGAGCTGGAGGGAAAGGGGAAGTGCCGTAGACTCTAAAGCACTGAAGTTTGAAGGACTGAATCCATTTTATTTTTGAAAAAAAAAAAAAAAATACACCCTTCTCCAATGCTTGTTGATTCCCATAATCCTGGGGAAGGGAGTCAAGAGCATAGATTCCAGAGCTGGACTTCCCGGGTTCAAAGCCCAGCTCTGCCGTTTCGTTGGCGTGTGTCCTCCACCAGATTATATAATTTCTGTGTGACTCTAGTGTCCTCATATATAAATGGGATAGAGTACTTGCCTCGTAAGGATGACATGAGGTAACGTAAGTGCTTACAATGGCACGTAGTGTGTGGTAAGTGCCTAATCAGTATCAGCTACTATAATGGAGCCAGGAGGTTGGCTTTGGTAGCATAAAGATTAGAGGAACACAGAGGGTTCCATTCAGTGGTCCCATGTGGGCAGTTCAGTGTCTGGGTGCTTGTGTGGTGGTTTTGTGCCTGTCTCCAGAGAGACACCTGCCTTCAGCATTTGCCTGCTTACGAGCTGTTTCAAGTAAATTCTGGTGCGCGGACCTCACAGAAGGTGAAAGAATGTCATCACATACCCTTTTAGCAAAATAGGATGGTTGGTGTTCCTGTCACAAAATGTTACATGATGAGGCTCCTCCTGTTCGCTGCCTCCCTGCGAAACTGTGTGCATAGTGCCAGCTCAGCTGCGTCGGCTTAGAACAGTCTTGGCAAGAAGCACATGACATACTCATCTTCGTTTTTCTGGGTGATGACATGATAGTTGTGATACTTAAATTCAATGTCTGCTTATTTCCTGAAATCTCTAACTGACCTGTATTATTTTATAAACAGAACAAATCTTTCTATGATGTTGAAGCTAATATTCTTTCTCAATAACAGTTTTATGAAGGTGTTATTTACATACCCTACAAATCACCAGCTTAACACCTCCCACTCAGGTTGTCTCGTATATTCACAACAACTCTTCAGCCGTCCCCGTGATCAATTTTAGAACATTTCCATCACCCCAAAGAGAAGTTCTGTACCCATCCCAGTCAGTCTCCTTCCCCTGACTCCACGGTCCCAGGCAGCCACTGCCGTTCTTTCTGCCTGTAGGGACTTGCCCGTTCTAGACCTCTCACGTGAGTGGGATCACATGCGTGAGGTGCCTGGTGACTGGCTTCTCTCACTCAGCATCCTGTGTTCCAGGTAAAGCAGATGGCTCTCGTACTTTCATTTGCTCATTGTGTTGGAAGTCGTACTAACCCTTATTTATCACATGGTATAATGTGTTTGGTTCCTTTACTTGTAGAATTGGTTCCTTCAATTATGAGCAACCTGCTGAATCCGGATGCCATTTTCTCCAACAACGAGATGAGCCTGTCGGACATCGAGATCTATGGCTTTGATTATGACTACACCTTGGTGTTCTATTCAAAGCACCTCCACACGTTGATATTCAACGCTGCGCGGGACCTTCTGATCAACGAGCACCGGGTGAGAGCACAGGGGCGTCCCCTCCTCCTCTCCCGTCCCGTGGGCACGTGAAGAGCAGCCGTGAGCTGACCCGGCCTCCTGCCTGGCACATAGATGTCATTTAGAAAATTGTGGCTGAATGAATGAGGAGATTTTGTTCTATTCCAGATGACTCTACCAGGAAGATAGTTATTTTTTTAATTAACCATTTTATTGAGGTGTGATGACATGGAAAAAGCTGTATATAATTAACATATACACTTCCTCGAGTCTGGGGGTAAGTACACACCTGTGAAACCATCGTCACCCACACCAAGGCCACAGACTCTCCATCACCTCCCAAAGTTGCCTCCCGCCCCCTTATTGTTGTTATTGTTACTTGTGTGTCTGTGTGTGGTAGGAACACCTCACATACGATCTACCCTCTTAGCGATTTTTCAGTATAGAGCACAATATTTGCTCTAGGTACCATGCTGTATAATAGATTTTTGGGACTTGCTTACATAACTGAAACTTGTACCCAGAAGATAGTTTTTTTTGTTTTTTTTTTTTAATCTTTAGGTATCTGTCAGTGGAGATTCACCTGCAAAAATGAGTCTGTGCTCTCCTTTCTCACAGAGCAGCAACGTAGCTTCTCCCCATGTCTGAGGAGGTGGCAGCCTGTTGAGTTCTGGTTAAAAGGAATTCTTCAAATGTCAGGCATTGTGTCTGTAATAACCAGTGTTGTGGCTGCACCAGCCCCTTATGGTTCTTATTATAGTTGGAAGATACCCTTTAGCAATAACCATCAGGAACTTCAGAAAGATGCAGCTTTATTATTTATAAGACCTAGAAATTACACACCACACAGCTGGGGCTGCACAGCAAGGTGGACGTCAAGAGAGCATGTGTTCAGGGGCCTGGGGCTCTGCTTTTATTGGGGTTGAGGGTGGGGGGCCTACGGTGTCCTCGGCTCACTCTTTATTGGTGATGTAAAACATAAGAACCGGATTTTAAAGCGTGGGAAGAGAAAACAAACAAGCAGCCCAAATGGTCATTTACTGGTCATTTAATGGTCATTTACTGGTATCAACCATGACCTCTGAAACAAAGAGCCATGGTAGGCGGGGGAGGGGGCCCGGCCCTTGGCCTGGTCCTGCAGCTTGCGTGTGTTTATTCCAGATCTGAAGGGGATGCCTCTTTGAAATGGACACCTTGGAAATCAAACTTCAAGTCAGGCACTTGCATTACAAAAAAGCAAAATCAATGTCAGGGCTTATACTACACGATGTTTTACCCTCATCACTGATTGGAATCATGTTCTTTTGCAAAAAAATATTTGAATGTCTTCTGGCGCATAGTGTTGTTGAGGTCCCAGAATAAGGAAGGAGAAAAGAAACGCTCAGAGCCTAACATGCTTCCCTCTAGGCTGCTGTGAGTACAGTTTTCGGGAGTCAGGACAGGAGGCATCCTCAGAGCCCGTGGGGACTCGTGCCCTTGGGGGACCCCCGCAGCAGCCCGAGAGGTGCCGCTGGAGTCTCCGTCTGAGGCCCCAGTGCCTTACTCCGGGAGGCCGTTCTGATTCGGGGGAGAGTCATCCATGGGTAGAACCATTCTGCCTTCACAGAGATTGCCCCACCCATCTCTTCTCCTCCTTCATCCCTCTGCACGGTCCTGAAACCCTTACTAAGCGCCTCTTCTCTGCCAAGCCCTGGAACAGAAGCCGGGAGGATGAAGACAGGAAGGACCCAGGTTCCACCCTCGGAGACCGGGCAGTCCAGTTGGGGGGTCAGTCCTCCAGGCAGATGAGTTACTAAGCCACCTGGTGGGGCCTCTGCAGACACCTGACTGGAGTGGGGATGTGTGGGGGATGCTTGGGATGACTCTCTCTGCCTGAGGAAACTGGGAAAACATCAAGGAAGGTGGTATTTCAGCGGAGTCTGGAAGGAGTTTGTCAGCAAAGGTGGGCTGGGGGTGGGCGGAGTGGGTGGGTGTGAGTAGCCTAGAAACAGAAAACTTGACGGTTTAAGTAATAGGTTGGGTGTGGTGTGGACCAGCCGCTGTGCTCTCTGAGACTTCTCCCTTCCGAGGATGATCATTCTTCATCGTTCTTTCAGCCCTTCTCATTTGACCTCTTTTTACTATCTTGAAAAAAATTTTTTTTTAAATTTAGTGATTTGAGAGAAAACAGAGAAACATTTATTTGTTGTTCCACTTATTTATGCATTCATTGGTTGCTTCCTGTATGTGCCTTGACCAGAAATAGAACCCACAACCTTGGTGTATCATGATGATGCTCTACCCAAGTGAGCTACCCGACCAGGGCTCTTTTTATCATCTTGGTCACCCTCCTTTGTGTGTGCCCTGGTCTGCACCTCTCAGATGTAAGGGCTTGAACTGGAGATGTCACTGCAGGTGGGGTCTGACTAGTGTGGAATAGAGGGAGACCATCACCTCCCTGGTTCTGAATACCATACCTTTATTAATGCTGCCAAAGTTCCCACTGGTTTTGGATCCTCACCAGTTGATGCAGTGTATTCCCTTCAGCTTTTGGTTATCAGTGGATTTAATAAGCAACTCATTTGGTCCTCATCCAAAATGCAGAAATGGTATTTGCCAAAAATAACTTGACCTCTGCCTCTAAGCCATTGGCTATCTTAGTTATGGCCGCCCTACCAGGTGGCAGCCCATCTAGCCATCAGCCACTGAGCAACATCTCTCCCTTTGTTCAAGAGATTCTCTTCTGTCTAACCCAGGGTCCTTTCCCTTGACTCTGAGGGTGGACGCAGAATAAGAGCTAGGTGGTCCTGCCCTCTTCTTCCATCTGTGAACCTGCACCACCTCTCCAGCACCCCACCGGGAGATCAAGCTGAAGGGGTGTGGGCATGGGTGCTGGCATTCAAGTCCCAGGTCATATGCTGCAACTCTGACATCACCTGTAAAACTAAGGTCGTTACTTAGTAACGACAGCACCACCTGTTGCTTGCCTGCTAGGTACCAAACACACAGGTTCTAGAACCTGATTTGCTGGGGTTCAGATCCTGGCTTTACCATTTCCAGTTTGCATGACAACCCTGCAAATAGATGTCTCTGTTTTACTGGTGAGGACACTGAGGCTTACAGAGTTAAGGCAGTAATTCAAGGCCACAAGATCAGGGGGAGGCAGAACCAGGATTTGTGCTTCAGCCTGCTCATTTCCAAGTGCACATGCTCTCTCCTTTACTCCGTGTTGTCCCCTGTGGGGTGCATAACACCTGTCATTTCCACCCTTTGGGTTTATTGTTCATGCGAAAATAAAATGTCCATGAAGATTTAAACATTTAGGAAGATAAAAATACAGGATTTGGGGGAAAGGAGGTTACAATGATTATGATGAGAAAAGCTTCTAGATTTAAGATCACTGAAATTTCATTCCCATTATGTATGTTCGCTGCTTGGATAAGAGAAGTGTGTCATAACACTAATTATATCGGGCGTATTAATAGAGTCAATTATGCTTATGCGCATTTTTCTCTTTATTTGGGTCTGAAAATAATTCTTCTAAGATGCCGTTGAATGTACTGGCTTTGGCGCTGGTTCCCCTGCCAAAGACTGTGTGTGCTTGTGGAGTTGGAAAGACATCTGCTTCGAGATGCAGTAATAGAACAGCAAGTGGGCAATTTAGCATCTTCCCAAAGAGCAAATGTAAACTTCCAGCTTCTTCTTAATTACCCTGTTCCTTCCTCTCTCTCTTTTCTCTTTCTTCCCTCCCTTCCTTCCTCCTCTCTCTTCTTTCTTTCTTTTTCTTTCTTCTTTCTTTTACAAGAACATGTTTTCACAACAATAGAAATAAAAAATACTGGATAAGTACTGTATCTGCGCCTTCATTTCAGATGCCCACCGTGGGATAGAAAGGGAGTCTGAGAAGAGTTCCCGAGTTCGTGTCCTACATCCGCACCCTCCTTGGTGTCCCGATCATTGGTGACACCGACGCCCCCCTGGTGTTCCGTCTAAAGCCTAGCATTAGCCGAGACCCCTGAGGTTTTCCTCCATTCCACATCTGATCGCTCAGCAGATGCTGCGGGTCCTCTCTTCCTTTTTTGGAAACAAATAATCTTTTAATTTTAGTGGAGTCAGAGGTTTACAGAAAAGCTGCCAAGGTAACACAGAGAGTGCCTGTCTGTGTGCCCTACACCTGGTTTCCTCTAATGTCAACATGTGAACTTTTTTTTCTTTTTCTTTTAAAGTAATTATGGAGTCACAGAAAGTTGCGTAGAGAGCACAGAGTGGTCTTCTATCCCTTCCAGCTCGTCTTCCCCACTGGTTACACCTCAAATAACTAAAGTGTAATAGTTAAAAAATGAGAAAATTGACATTGGTATACTGGGTCTGTGTAGTTCTGTGTCTTCTTACCACATGCGTAGGTTCATGTAATCAGGAGTAGAATGAATGAATTCCTTTCAATGCCAAGGTTACTCTTACCCGTAAGGTTTCTGAGGTGGCAGCTGGCAAGCGGTAATGTGGACTCGGTCCACATTACCACGGTACATTTATCACAACCAACAACACGGCAGTAACGAATTATTATTAACTGACATCTGGACTTGATTCAGGCATCCTTAGTTTTTACGTAATGTCCTGTTCCTGCTCCCCTCGGCTGTGACAGTTTCTCAGCCTTTCCTTGTTCTTGAGAACCCTGACAGGTTGGATGGGCACTCGTTGGGATGCCCTTGTCTTGGGATTTGTCTCGTGTTTTTCTTACAGTCAGACGGGGGCTATGGGTTTGGGGGAGGAGGACCATAGAGGTGAAGTGCTATTGTCGTCACCTCTTATCCGGGGGACATACCATCCATGGGACTTAGCTATGACGTTGACCTTGACCAGGTCGTGCCTGTCGTCACATCTCACTGCCAGGTTTCCCTTTCCGCTTCCTGTGCTGTTCCCTTGGGGAGGATTCACCCCGTGCAGACGCGAGCTCTCTCTCACTCACGCAGAGGATATTCATTCAGTGTGCATCCGACTGCACCTGCTTCTCACCGCCCCCACTGCTGCCACCTCACCTCCCGCCCGGCGGTGCAGTGGCCTCCTGACTTGTTCCCCTGCTTCTCTGTTCTTGCTCCTTAGTCTGAGCTCCATTTGGCAGCGAGAATGAACCTTTAAATATCAATCGTGTCACTCTTGGGCTCCACACCCGCCCCCACCCAGCCTTCCCATCACACTTGTGATGACCTAGGAGGCCCCCAGGGCTCCCAGGCCCCCGCTTCCCCACCGGCCTCTCCTCCCACCTGCCCTCTCTCTGCTGCAGCCACACCAGGCTGCTTGCTGCTCCTCCAGCTCCCAGATGCGAGCCTGCCTTTTGGGCCTTTGCCATTTCCTCTGCTTCGGGACAACTGTCCGGGCTGCCCGAGTCCTTGCTTCTCTTAGTTTTTTCAGCTCTCTGAACCCTTGGACTGCATTTTCTTTGTCGAACTTGTCACTCTCAGGCACGATATTGTGTTTTTTCTACTTGTTTATGGTCCGTCTTCCCACGGTAGAGTGGAAACTTCTTAGGGTCAGGGACTGTGTCAATGGTGTTCATGGCCATATTCCCACGCCCTGGCACAAAGTATGTGCTCAGCAAATACTTGACATCTTGGTGAATTCCACAGTTGAGTGAGGGTATCGTGCCTGGCGTGAAACTCTCATTCTAGTGTAGTTCATTTGCCCTTGCTGACTGTTTTGTGTGGAATTTGGAGAGCTTTGCCTTTCTGCCCTTCTGCCCTGCCTCAAATTAGACTCATAATTTAGGCCCCTTTAAATAGCAAACTGAGACCTCTGAAAAATGGATATACTTATTGGCATCTGGACCTCAGGAACTCACGGGCAGTGTTGTAGCGTCCAGGTCATGAGCCGTGACCAGAGCTCTGTCGTTAGCCGAGAACGGGTGCATGGCCAAGCTGCAGATCGGTGGGGATGGCACGTATGGGGGCTCCAGGTTCTCCGCAGTGTTTTAGTGCTAACTTTCCTTGAATTTGTCAGGGACATTTGTGCAGCATGTTCCAGGGAACCTTGGTCTTTCCTTGTCCACACACACCAGCCTGCCCACATTGTACCCACAGCTGGAACAGATCCGGATATTGAAGGACACCGGTCTGGGCCAAATTAAGAAGTTTTTTTAAATAAAAATCCCGAGCAAAACGTTTTTATCTATGATATTTCTTCCTGCTTTTAGGGATACTAGTAATCTTCATGACATGTGAGGTGAGTCACGCTTTTCAGGATGGTGGAAAGTTTCTAAACTATGAAGGGTCCTGAACATCTAGCCATAGGCCATTGGAGAGAAGTGTGGTCTCCTGGCCGTTGGGAGTGGCTTTGGCTTCCTTGACCGGGTGTTACTGTGACCGGCTATTCCTTGAGGTGCTGTGCGTGCAAGCCCGTGTGTGTGTGTTGGAAAGGGGCCCATCATGGGGACCTTTGGGACTTGGCTGCATGCATGGGGAATCACAGTGTAGGGTCAGGAGCGGAGCACAGACATCACCCAGTTCCAGCATTTTGTTTTCCATTCGAAGGGAGAGGCCAGGAAGGTTAAGTGACTCACCTAAAGTCTTCTGGGGGAGCAGCAGAGGCTAGTGGAGGGGGCCCGAGAGCCCAGGCCTCCTGATTCCCCATCCAGCAAAGCAGCTCAGTTTTCTCGAGCAGCTGCTGTGTGCTGGGGAGACTGGGCTAATCTCCCACTGGCATCCTTTGGCTTAATCCTCTCTGCTCTCATGTAGGGCCGGGCTCTTGTTATTTTCACCTGGGAAATGAAAATATCGAAGCTCAGAGAGACACGATCTTGCAGTGAGCACATGGTAGGACTAGAATTTGACACGCGGTCCCTTAGCCCTGGGCCTGTATTCTTTATCAGGTGTTGTCCTGTGATGGCTCCTTCAGCTGCTTCTGTCAGTTCTCCAGGTTCTGCTGTGGTCTCTGGTCTGGACCATTTGAAAACCACTGTGTATCAGGAGGAACTCCCCAAGAAGCAGGGAGAATGACACTTATCCGTCACTCCCACGTTAAAAGGAGACTCCAGTGGGTGGTGTCCCATGGCCTCACTTCAGGGGAGTGGCGAAGTGTCAAGCATCCCATGGGACATGTGTTGGGTTCTGGGCACGGGAAGTGTATGAACTGTGCACAGTGTTCTGAATTCTTGGGAACGCCCATGAGTGGAAATATCATGGAGTGATTTCTTGGCACACACGGCAGGTGTCAGATAAATGAGCCTGAACGTGACATTTGAGTCAGTGCTTCGTGCAGCTGGAGCTGAAACCTCGCTGTCTGTGGTTCAGCCTGGTGGGGCTGGGACATTTTCTCACGCCGCTGTGACCTCGGCCGTGAGGAGTGAGCAGCACAGCCCTTGCAAAGAGGTTTCCTGTGCGTATGGATTATTGCCTACGTTTGTGTTTTTTGAGAGGCAACAAGATTTTATTTGAGATTATAGAATTGCAGTGCTAGTAAGCACGGATTCAGGCAGAAACCCAAATGGTATTTCTATTATGTAGTAACGGCAACAGGGTTTTGTGAGAAAGGGAAGGGAAGTAATGGCACAGATAGAAGAAAATCCTGTTGGGGGTAATAAACTGTTCTTCTTCAGCTGTACACAGACAGCACCGATTCTCACGAATGTCTGTATCACGCCATTGGGCTCAGGTCAGCCTTCCGGTTGGCTCTGCCGACAGTTGTTTGGAGGATGATGTTGCATTGGTCCGGTGCAAAGGTTATTTTGCCCAAGTCAAACATTCTAAAGGTTCAAGGAGCAAGGCATGCAGGGCAGCTCCCCTGGGACGGTGGCTCCAACTCTGTTTGCAGAGGCCTCTGTTTACATTGTTTTTCACAAGCTCCGTGTAGCCGAAGAAACTTCTGCGCCAGGCAAGCGTGTTGGTGGTACTCAGTCTGCCGGGGTCCTGCTTCTGGGGAGACGTGTGGACTCCAGAATGACGAGGCTATGGATTATTTAACCTTTTGGGGTTCAGGAAATGTTAATTCAGGTACTCAGTGTAGTAAACCTTCACTCCCCACCACGCAACCCCCACTGAACTCCAAACCTGCCCCTGCACAGCAGTCTGTGTTACCTGGCAAGGGTGTCCAACCTTTCGGCGTCTCTGGGCCACACTGGAAAAAGAGTTGTTTTAGGCCATATGTTAAATACAAAAATACTAATAAAAACTGATGAGCGAGAATAGGTTTTAAGTAAATTTACAATTTTGCGTTGGGCTGCATTCAAAGCCATCCTCAACCTCTTGCAGGTTGGGCGCCTGTGCCCTAGAGCATTGTAGGAAGTGTAGTCCGGAGGTGCTCCCTGTGGCCGCAAGCAGTTTTGCTGCAGGAAGGCAGGCACCTGGGTTTTTACTTAGGCAGTTTACATTGTGATTGGAAGATTCTGGTGACACAGCCTGTCTAGACTCAGGAGTGGATGTTCTGTTCTGCAGATCTGTGCTCTGAGGGCAGAGGGTGTGGGAGAGCAGAGGCTGGTGCCTGACTCCTCACCCACCACACCCCAGCTCTGAGGCCCAGGCCAGGTTGTTTCATCCGGTGCCTTTGATGTCCCGTCAGTGAAGTGGGAATGGCAGGGCCAGTGGTGCTTGGTTCCTTGGTGCTGTCAGTGGTGTAGCTGGTGTTCCAATTCTGATCCTCGGGGAGGAGGGAAGGACTCGGGCGCCTGGTGCAGTACATAAGGAGGGAGCTGCTATTTTTGTTTGCATTGTTTGAGGAATGGCTTAATAACCAGGAAATACCAGGGGAGCTGAGCTGCCCCCCAAAGCCGTGCATGTTCTGAGTCAGAGTGTTGGAGCGGTAACTGGAGCTACATGCTGAGAAAGGGCCCCTCCATGCCTGAGTCGGAGGATGCTGTCCTGACAGCCGTGGGGTCCCTCCAGCCCATGGAGGGTGAGCAGTGGCCTGCTGTCCAAATGGGAAGTGTAATGAAAGCTACATGGAGGGGCCCCTTTGAATAACTGTTCTGCTTTGGTGCCTTCATGAAACCTGGTAATGGGCACATCGTGGGGCTGTGACATGGAGGTACTCAAATGGGAGCTGAATGGTGGGTGACACCGTACTAAGGAAGGAAGAAGCAGATGTGAGTCTGGGGTCAGGGCTCTGAGAGTCTGGGGTGGAGGGGAGGGAGCAGTGAAGATGAGAGAAGTTGGGGGAGATGAGGCCCCACCTGTGCTGGGCAGATGCACAGGGAGCGGGGCTGGGTAGAGGGCTCTGGGGCTGGGAGGCCCAGGGTCCAGAAGCAGAGGGACACGATGTGATTTATCCCTTCTGACCCCACCTTCCCACCACAGTGCATCAGCCCCCTTGGCCTTTGTACAAGGAACACATCTGGACACTACCTTGAACCTAGTACATACTTAGTTAGCTAAAACCGGTTTCTTTCCTTCTTCTCAGTACCCCACCGAAATCAGGAAGTATGAATATGACCCAAATTTTGCAATTCGTGGACTTCATTATGACGTGCAGCGGGTAGGTTCAATTCTCCTGTTTTTCTAGTTTGATGGTGTTTGGGGATAAAACGTACTCTTGGTGCTTTTCTTTGCTCAGCACATAACTTGATTTAAAAACTTGTGTTCTTTGGGGTTGCAAAACTGAGTTCTTCAAAACCTCGTTGCATTAAGTCTTTTTCAAGAGACTGTGATTGGAAAAGTACGAATGCATGTAGCAATTTGGGAGATACCATTTTATTTCCAGTGGGCCCTTTTGCTGTTTGGAGGAACAGCCCGTCATCATACCTTCCAGTATGAGTTGCACAGTGCTTTAATCAGCAAGCAACGATGTCAGAAACTTGCCTGTGTTTCCTTGTGACAACTTCACATTGGCAGGATTTATAACGACGCCTGGAATCCTCATTCAGTGTGCAGACTGTGGTGCATTATTAACCTGTGCCTGTGTTTGTGTTTTCGAAGGCTGTGTTGATGAAGATTGATGCTTTTCATTACATCCAGCTGGGAACTGTCTACAGGTAAGAGTAAGCTCCCTGGCCCAGACACTTTAGCCCTTCTCTCCTGGACTCTTACGGTTTTCTGCAGAGTAATCCATCCTAGGCATCGTTGCTCTGCTGATTTACCGAAAGCACTTTCCTCAACCACCCTCTCCTCTCTCCCGAAATCCCGGATGGCTCGCCACTCTCGGGAGACTAGAGCCACCTCTCTCAGGTTTCCTGTTAGCGTCCTCTTTTTGCACACACAACTCCTTCACTCACTGGGTTGGTTACGACTCTTAGCTGCAAGTGACTGAAAGCCAGCTCAGGCTGGCTAACTGAAACACAGTATTGGCTCACTGCTTGTACAGTCCAAGGGCAATCCCCGGCACAGGTGTGGCCAGCTCCAGGGCCCAAACTGATGTCGTCAGCACTCTTTCCATCTCTAGGCTCTCTTGCTCTCAGGGATAGCTCCCTCCGTGCGGAGTTACCAGGTTTTCCAGATGGAGAGGCAAAGGGGAGTTTCTTTTCCCTATAGTTTCAACTGGTCTCAGAGGGCGTGGATGCTGGCAGGTGCAAATAATGTGTGTTCCTTTCCCCTGAGTTCTCCTTTCTCCCTGCTTGGCATCTGTTCATGCCAGCAGCCTGTCTACCAGGATAGTTTCCTTCTTCTCTGCTTCTCAAAAGCCCGACCCTGCTTCAGGGCCGACTTGTGGTGAGGCCTTTCCTTACCCCTCAGCCTGAAATGTTTTTTTTTGTTCTTTGCTGTTCTGGCGTCACATGATCCTGTGCTCTTAATTGCCTTGTGCAGCCAGGTGCCTGTGACTGCAGGTAGAGAGAGCCGTGGCTTGCGAAGGATTGGGTCGGTCTAGCGTGGAGGCAGGGAACTCGACGGCTGAATTTCTTCTACCTTTTGTATTTTCCTTCCAAGCGTTAAAACCTGAGGGGTGTGCACAGCTGACTGCTGCTACCTGAGCTCGAGCTGTTGTCCAAGGTCACCGTCTGGAATGATCTGGTTCAGTGCCAGTGTCTTATCTGATTTCTGGGACAAAGATAAACGGAAGTACAGTGCCTGTTTTGTTTTCAAAGGCCAGTAGTTGTAACAAGTTAATTGAGATCAGAGGCAAAATATTAATGAATCCATTCAGATATTTTTAAAAGTTATACGAAGGTGGAGAATGGAGGAAAGAGGCTGAAATTAAATGTTCACTGAAGTGACATCCCAAATGTAAATTGTGTTTTGTATGCATTTTAATATTGGCCAAGTAATTTTTTTTTTTTTTACCTTGAGCAACCTATTTGTTTGAGTGCCTAAAATTCTTCTTGAGTGATCTGTGCTCCTGCTGTAGCACAGTGTGCTGTTTGGCCCGCTCCTTCTGTGGTCCCTCCTCACAGGGTCTGTTTCTTCTAAAGAAGGGGGTAGAGGAGCAGGCCTGCGCCCTTTAGCACGCTAGTGTGCGCGATTCCAGGTGAGGAAGTATGAGGCCATTGAGCCCTGGGTAAAGGCATCTGCTCTTGGCGCTGGTGGCAGAGGCAGGGCTGAAATCCAGCCACACTGACTCCAGAATTAGTTTTTTCCTGCGTGCGGAGGAGCTGGATTCCCTTGCAGATTCTCCTGCAGCTCCGGAGGCAGGCAGGCAGGCAGATGGGCGTTACCTCGCTTTTACAGATGAGGAAACTGGCTTTCACTGTCACATAGCATTTGGGTCACCCCTCTCGGGGGTGGTGCCCAGGCTTCCTGCCTTGTGTTATGGGGTCTAGTCCATCTGAGCCCCGTACATGGCTTTTTCCATCTTGGCACTGACCTTTGGGTAGAGTGATGTGGACCCTGGCTTGTGGGGTCCGAGACATTGTGGATGAGACACGACAAATTCACATGGCCCACTGAGTCCTGTGGAGGAAAAGGGACGGCACGGCTTCTCTCTCAAGGGGAGAAAAAACCCCAGAGTGCCTTGGCCACCCTCTCAAGAGAAGAGTGCCCTGACCCTTGCCTGGACAAATTTTTATTGGGTTCAGTTTTCGCAGGAATACAGGGTATATATGTAAAGCTCATTGATCATTGTCAGGCAGACATGATTAAACAATAGATAACATTCAAAGAACTCTGAGGGCTTATTCTGAGTCAGGGTCAGATAGCTAAAGGGCCATAAAACTTTGGGGAACAAACTCACTTCCTGCTCAGACTCTTATCATTTAAATTGAGGGTCTTAGCAAAGTAGGTTTCATAGGATTTTAGGCATTCTTTCTTAGGCCTAATGCCCTAGGGAACCCACTCTTTCCAGCACAGGGCTGCACCCACCTCCAGCATTGTTTTAGGCCTAAGTCAGGCAGGGGAAGTAAGGCAGTCAAGGGATTAGGAGACTTCCCACAGACAGAATGAGGATTCAGGCTATGTCAAAGCCGAGGCGTGAGGGTCCATCACCCCCTTTTTCTATAGCCCCCCAAGTCCTTCCCTGAGGGCCCCTTCATGACTGTGCCTGTCTTAGGTCGTCCCTCTTTTGAGGCATCTTACCCATCATTGGCTAACCAGTCATCCGCCCAGGGCCAAGCAGGGTGAAGAGAAAGGGAGCAGAGGTGATGTCCCTACAGGGAAGATAAGCTTTGTCTCCTACATGGCTCATGGTCCCAAGGTCCTTTACTCAGCCTTAGCCACGGGGGATTACAGATTCTGAAACCAGGCAGGGCAGTTCCCAACAGCAGAGTATGAGAGGGTACAGGATGATGGAGACAGAACCAAGCCTTTCTCACCTTAATGTATTAAAAACATAAAACAACAACAACAACAACCCCAAAGTAAGGCATTAAAAGACCTTGTACCTTGTTGAGGGAGGCAGTGTAACACAGTGGCTGAAGAGCCACAAAACCTGGGGCCCAGTGCTGACCCACCATTTTCTACTTGGGTGACCTTGGCTGACCTTTTTGTGTCTCAGTTGCCTCTGCTGGGGAAAAAAGGGATATTAGTGTCTTTCCCCTAGCATTGCTGAGAAGTAGGTGAAGGACTATGTGGCATTCATGTCTGGGGTATAGTAGGTGCCATGTAATAGTAACTATTATTTTTCTGCTCTTACTGCCATTAGAATGGCAGCAGTAATAATAGTAGCACTTTGCCTGACATTTGTAGCAGTTCCTGGTGGCACACCTTGCCCCCTTGTGACAGTGTCTGACACCTCGGTAGGGAAACCCCAGTCATTGCCAGAGGTGTGACAATCATTGCCCTCGCTGGCTGGGCTGTTAAACTGCACCGCCTGTTGTTCTCCCAGGGGCCTCAGTGTTGTCCCCGACGAAGAAGTCATCGACATGTACGAGGGGTCCCACGTGCCTTTGGAACAGATGAGCGACTTTTACGGAAAGGTAATGAGAAATGCTTTATTTATCTAAAGCAGCCTGTGTTTTTCCGTCTCAAAGCATGGCCTGGGAGACTGAGGGGCTTGAATCCCTAGACTCTCTGACTGCCCACAGGGAGCTGACAAGGAAATGTGGGGTTGTGTTCTGAGAGACCCAAGGTTTGGGAGAGATGCGTGTGTTACAGGCTCCACGGGTTCATTCCCGGCTCTCCTTCCTTTGCCCTTTCTTCCCTCCCCGACAAAGGCTCTGTACACCTTCCTTGTACCTACTCTCTTTTCCACCACCCCTCTGAGGTGTCCCCACTTTCTGGATTGAGTCCCTGGGGGCTGTCAGTGAGGTGGCTGTCGCCTCCCCTGAGATTGAGGGCAGCCAGTTACCCTGAGCCTGAAGGGTAACCTCTGCTTCTCTGGCGTCTGTGGTTCTCTTTGCTCTCCGCATTTTTGCTTCCTGTCCTGTTAGGTGCATTGTCTTGTTTGCATCGTTAAAGCGCCGTGGGAGGTGGCCGGTCAGCTGGTGAACTGTTGTAACGTGCAGGCATTCAGAGAAAGGCTCTTTTTCAAGCTCACACAGAGGCTTATGAGGGGCTCGAACCCAGGAGAGTTAAGGGGCTTTTTCTGCCATTCCAAGGGCAGCAGCCTGTTTCCTGGTTCTCCCCTGAGTCTGGTGAGGGCGTGAGCTGGGAGTTGAGTGGGATAGGGGGAGGCTGGTTACACTTGGGAGGGTGGATCGGGGCATTTTCTCGGGTGTGCGTTACACTTAAGAGTGAAATGTCAGCTCTGTTGTGAGTGGTAGGAACAAGGTGAGCATTTTTACTTTTCATTGTTAGAATTTTCCTTTTCTCATGGAGAGGGACGCAGATGTTGACCGGAATCCCCCTCAGTGAAGGTCATGTCTGGCCCTGCTGGGGCGTTGGCCTCCATTTCTAAAGTGTGCCCCTCCCCCCACCCCCCACAGAGTTCCCACGGCAACACCATGAAGCAGTTCATGGACATCTTCTCGCTGCCGGAGATGACCCTGCTGTCCTGCGTGAACGAGTACTTCCTGAAGAACAACATCGACTATGAGCCTGTCCACCTGTACAAAGACGTCAAGGTTGTGTCGATAGTAGGAGGCTGTGGTTTTGCATCCCGGTTGCCTTTCTGTGGAAGGAACAGCATTTTTAGGCTCCTTTGTAGGTTAGGTGTTTGAAACAGCCCTTTGCCTGGGAGCTCTTGTGTTTACGGTTTGTTGCTGAAAATGGTAAGATGTTGCATTAGGAGAATTGGAAATCAGTCCAATTTGTTGTTAAAAGAAGAGGGTACTCGTATAGTTTCATGGATTTCTAATTCTTTCTGACCCAGGGCCAGGGCCAGCGCAACCTGGCCAGAGGGGCAAGTGGTGGCTACAGCCCAGCCTGTACCCAGGTCCCCCTGAGCCCGGCCACTGGCTGGGGGGGACTCTACCCAGAGACTTGGCATTTCCATCTCAGGCGGTGGCCCAGGGCCTGCAGTGCCCACAGGAGTCCCGTCTTCCCCTGCGCACACAGGTTCCATGCGGGCTTGCTGAGGCCCTGCAGAAGCTGGGTGCCGAGATCCACTCGGAGACAGAGACAGGGAGATCTCAATATTTATATGCATGTACACACACCTCATTTATATGACTTTGTATTTGTAGATTTTAATTCACGTTTATGTGTTTGTTTATTTATTTATTTTTTATTGTTGTTCAAGTACAGTTGTCTCCATTTCCCCCCACCACTCATGTGTTTATATATATTCTTTAAGCTGAACTTTTTTCACTACTTAAAAATGTTTGTGTATTATTTATTTACTATATGTTTCTTATATATTTCTAAGCATGTTATAAACATGTTTATATAAAATATATAATACATATTTATTTAAATACATGAATTTTTGAAAGGTCAATATTCATATACTACAATGTTGTAATTGTATGTTTGTGGCTGATTTGAAAATTCTCACTGCTCTGCATCATGGGATTTAGGCAGATAAAAGATGAATTACAGTTGCTCAGTGTCAGTCTGTTGTTAGGTGAACTGAATTTAAGTATTTAGTTTCCAGTGTCCTTTTCATGCACACGTACTTCGTGTTTAAGAACTTTAAGAATCACTTACGGTTATGTAGCCCTCTGCACTCACGAGGAGAGTCATCTGTTTAAAAGTTCAGTTTTCACTTTTACTATTACAAGTTCGCCAAGAGTGGACATGTAGGCAGGGTTTTTCTGTGTTCGGGCATTGTTCTTCTGAGGGCTTTATGCATATTAACTGATTAAATCCTTACTGTAATGCCTTAAGGTAGATACTGCCATCGTCACCCTCATTTTATAGACGAACGGAGGCACAGAGAGGTTGGGGAACTTGCCCACAGTCACACAGCTTATAAATAGCAGAGTCTCGATGTCAAGCCAGGAGGTTTGGCTCTGGCTTGCTCCTCACCATTGCCTTCTGCCGATCTCACATTGAAACACGCCTGTGCTGGAAGGTGATCGAGGTTGAGTTTACAGCCCAGGGTGCACACGCTGGGCAGAAATCGCCCACCAGTTTTCTAAGGCTCATGGCCCAGTGTCTCCGCACCCCAGTGGTGCCACCTGTGTAGAGGACCTGCTCATTGTCACCTGAGAGTGGGGGCTGTGCCTGCTCTTGGCACATTTTCCTAGATGGCTGTTGGGACCTAGGGAAGGGTGCAAAGATGAAAAGCTCAACGAGGTCTGTGGCCCAGATGACCTGGACTCATTTGTTCACGAAACTACGTATAAAAAATGGCTTATCGTGTGGGGCTTTTTTCAGAATTGTCCACACAGATTACCTCCTCCCGGTGAGCCTATTGCGGACTGCATTGAAAGCTGCCACTATCACTTAAGTTCTCCCCACAGGGGCCACCCATGGTGCTTGGATTGCCAGGCCCCTAGTGACAGACGTTATCATGAATGCCATTTCACTTGTATTGCTACTCAGGCTCACATGTTCACTGATTAAAAACGTGTCTTGACAGGATTCAATTCGAGACGTGCACATCAAAGGAATCATGTACCGAGCCATCGAAGCAGACATTGGTACGTACTCAGCATTACCCTGAAGACTGTCTTGAGCCTGCCCTTGGCCATGGCACCGTACAGGCATTTCACTTTCCTTGCTGGCGCTGAGCAGACGCCATAGCACCTTTCTGAGTGACATGCAAGCACCCTGCATCCTTGAGTCTCATCCATCTTCATCCCCTTTGCCTTAGAACTTGACACAATCCTGACTCCGAAGGCGAGGCGCTGGCTGCTGCAGCCCCTTAGTTATTTCCCCTTAGAGGGAGGGGGCAGGGTCTTGGCTACTGATGCATCAGACGCCGACAGCTCGCTCTGATGCAGGCGTCCTTAAGACTTCCTCCTCTTCCCCATGTGCCCTGGACAGCTCTGGGCCTGTAGGCCCTCTTCAGTAAGCACTTGCAGGCTGAGTGACCGCATGCTGAATCCCTGTGTGGATTTTTTTTTTTTTGCTCCTAGAGAAGTATATCTGCTACGCTGAGCAGACCCGCGCAGTGTTGGCCAAACTGGCTGATCACGGCAAGAAGATGTTTCTCATCACCAACAGCCCCAGTAGCTTTGTGTAAGTTGTTCTGTGTGTCCCTGGCTCCCTCGCTTCCAGCTCCCTGCTTGCACTGCCTTTCACAGTTGGAATTGTGTGAAAAAAGTTGCAAAAACAGTTCACCCCTGCAGTGTTAGACTAACCCGGCTGACGTGTTGTTTAGGGACAAAGGGATGCGGTACATCGTGGGAAAGGACTGGAGGGACCTATTTGATGTGGTCATTGTTCAGGCCGAGAAGCCAAACTTCTTTAATGATAAGCGGAGGTGAGTCTCTGTCCTTCCAGGGGACCAGATTGTTCTCATTTGCTGCTGTGAAGACGTAAGATTCAGTCTGTCTTGGCGAAATTCCATTGGAAATCATGAACATCTGACATGAAAGTTTTTGATTTTTAATTCTTTTAGCAAGTAATTGCAGGGAGGGTGAGATCAGTGTGTAACACCTCAGATGGATTGAAGTGGTTGTGAGGGGTGATTGTGTGTGGGGGGTGGTTGTGTGTGGGGGTGGTTGTGGGGGGGTTATTTTGGGTGGTGGTTGTGTGTGGGGGTGGTTGTGGGGGCGCTGTTCCCAGCACAGCACAGTCCCTCACTGCACCCATTTAATTTTGCCTTTGTTCTGGGTGCCTAGAATGAGAGCTGAATAATCCTCCACCTATATTCATCTCTGTGTTATTTTATAATGATGGAAGGTCAGCAATATCCATATGAGGGGATATTATGCAGCCATGAAAATGATGCATTTGAAAAAACAGCAGTGAGCATGCATTATGACTGTAAAAAATGATATCTGAAGAATATGTAATCACATGAGAAATTTGTCACAGCCTTAGAGAAAAAAAGATATGACCAATGTGCACAAATGACCCTCATTTTCTGTTCATTAGGAAGGGGAAAGATACGGATGCAGAAAGACCATAGACATCTACTGAAATGTGTTTGTACTAGAATTATGGGTGATTTTTCTTCTCTCCATCGTATTTTCTTTTTGCATTTCCAGTATTTTTTGCAGTGAGTTTCTATTTTTCTAATCAGAAAAACAATTCAAATAAGTGTTACGTTAAAAAAACTACAGGCAAACAGTCTCCTGTCCTTTGGACTAGCACCCCCAGCGTGAGGAACGACTTTGGCATTTCCCATTTTCCGTCATAAAATAGTATGCCTGTCCTCTGATTGGCTTTATATCTAGAGCGCCTGAATTTCAAGTACAAAGTTGGATATATATACTAAGGTAATATTTCCAAAAATGTGTGTGTGTGTGTGTAATAGAGAGGGTTTTTTTGCATAAAACCAATTTTTTGTACCATCAAATAAACTTGGCAAATCTGAGTTAAAGACAGTTTCTGTATAGGAGGGCTTTTCACAGCCATCAGTAACTTGTTAAAAAAGGGACATGGATAGGGCGTAGTGTTTTCCAAATGTATTTGACCCTGGAGTTCTTTGTCCACTGCATGTTCCTGGCTGCTGGGCCCGCAGCTTGGGAGACATGGCCCAGGGCCAGGGGCTGTGTTGGAGCCGGTTCTGGGCTCCCAGGCTGGTGCAGCCCCGTCGTGTCCACGTAGTGTTCCACGCAGCACACGGCCCGCGCAGCCACCCAAGTCATAACACTTCCTCTTTCTGTTCTCAGACCTTTCCGGAAGGTGACCGAGAAAGGTGTCTTGCTCTGGGATAGAATCCACAAGTTGCAGAAAGGCCAGATTTACAAGCAGGTACCTCGTGACCCGTTCATCCTTTTTGTTACTTTGTGTGGTCAGTGATAGCAATAACAGCTGGCGTTCACGGAGGGTCACCCTGGGCTGGGGGCTGTTCTGAGTGCTCCCTGCTCCCGTGGACTGTTGACGACTTGGTGGCAGAATTTAAGCTGAAATCAATATTTCAATTACCTTACATTGAACAGTTTCTTAAAGTAAAATGTAAAGCATTATTTCTTATAGTACATGACATTTAAGATACTGGTAGCAAAGCTTAGACTTTTTTTTTCAAGATTTTATTTTATTTATTTTTAGAGAGGGAAGGGAAGGAAAAAGAGAGAAAGAGGGAGAAACATCAATGTGCGGTTGCTGGGGGTTAATGCCTGCAACCCAGGTATGTGGCCTGACTGGGAATCGAACTTACGACACTTTGGTTTGCAGCCCGCGCTCAATCCACTGAGCTATGCCAGCCAGGGCTAGACATTTTTTTTTTAAGAAGCATTTAATCACATGGCATGTTACTTGCCCAAATTAGTAATTATTTCCTGAGAAGCTGTGTTTCATCTACAGTTTTAATATATTACATAAGGCTTGCAAATGTTTGGATAAGTGATTACATTGCTGACTCTTATCGTATCACTGAAATAAGTTTTTTTATTGATTTTTTTACATGATGCAGTTCTTGTGGGTTTATATAACAACCTGCTAGATTTGGCATTAAGTTTATTTTCTAGGCCTTGAAAAAATTAGCTTTGATAACAGCCATTCCACTTCTAGGACGTTAGCCTAAGAAGATGATTAAGATGTAGCTAACCACCTGCTATAAGAGTGAAGTTACTTACAAAATAGATAATAAAGTAAATGAGAACAACATACATGTCCAACACCAGGGAATTGGGTAAATGAGTCGTGGTATACGTATCGGGACCAGAAATTACATGGCAGGTCAGTATTTGACCTGGAGAGAGGGTCACAGCCTGGTAAGTGTGAACAGAGCATTGCAAAGAGGTATCTACAGGATGATTCTCTTTTGAAAAGTACATTCAACTTACAAGAAAGGCCTGAAAGATTTCACACTAACATGCTTTTATCTTTATATTTTGATATTTAAAGTAAATTATAAAGGTGAGGTAATTTTTTTGAAGTTTTTTAAAAACGTAAGTATTTGGGGCCATGGGTGATACCCAGGTCTCTGCACCTGTCACAGATACAATGCCTGTGTTTTCCTTACTGCAGGGCAACTTATATGAGTTTCTGAAGCTGACTGGATGGAGGGGATCCCGAGTGCTGTATTTTGGTGACCACATATACAGCGACCTGGCGGTGAGGGGGGGCCTTTTGTCCTAGTTCTTTGTTGGGGGGCAGATGTGGTAGTCCCACTTATTAAGGAATTTCTCTTTTGGTTAAGACAATTTTTAGGCTTTCATAAAAATCAGGAGTAGGCCACTTTTTTTTAATGTCTCATATTTTACAGAACAGATGCATCAGTCATGAAAAAGATAAATTTTGGGGGAAATGATGTAAGTTAGCAATTGACTCAAGAGTTTATCAGAAAAATCTTTGTGTTTAAGTAATAGTAAGAAATAAATGCCATTGTTCTTTCCTTTTCCTTTTATTACTGTGTCAGAAACACACAACTGCAACGTAAAAGCGCAGAGACCTCAGCCAGGGCTTCTGTTGCCAGCCTATTGCTTTGGAGACCGGCCTTTCTAGGAAACAACTGTTAGGTGAAAATGAGGCTTTTCTTGCCCTGTGGAAGGACCAGCGGAGCATCACGGGACTTCAGTTCTGTGATAAACCTATAACTGGAACAATATCTAATTGGAGGCAGAGGGGGGTTGATTCCAGGCACTTGCGTGTAGTGACACCTTTTCCAGGTGACTCCTGCACACACCTGTGTAACCACATCTGCCCAGTGGGCTGAGGTCTCGTGGGAGGAACCATGGTTCAGAGTGAGGAGACTGAGGGTTTCCACCCCAGCTCTACTGTTTATTAGCTGGGTGACCTTGAACACTTCCCCCAAGCCCTGATGTCCTCATGTGTAAAAGCGGTGAAATAAGATGATGTATATACAAGTGCTTAGTAAAGGAGAAATACAAAGGGCTACCAACAGGATGTTGGCATTCCCAGGATGTCAGGCCACTTGACATGGCATCATGGGCATTTGCCTCTTGCTAAGTGGGGTCTGCAGGCCCTGAGGGGAGACTCCGTGCTGCCCTGAAGTCCTGTGGGCGCACGGCCCTGGGAGGTGCCACCACACGCACACACGCACAGGTCTTTTGCTGACTCTGAGAGGCACTCACAAAGCAGTCGCGTTCTTCAAGTGGGATCCCGTGGCATCAGTGTCACCTGGGGCCTTGTTAGCAATGCACATTCTCAGGCCTCACCCAGGACCCACTGAGTCAGCATCTCTGGGGGTGGGGCTCAGCCATCTGTGTTTTAACCAGCTTTCCTACTAAAATTTGATACCAGGGTAGTGCTGGCCTCAGAATGAGTTAGGAAGTGCTGCCTCCTCTTCAATTTCTGGAAGAGTTTGAGGGGGATCGATATTAATTCATCTTTAAATGTTTGGTAGAATTCACCAGCGAAGACATCTGGTTTGGGCTCTCCTTGGCTGGAAGTTTTTTGATTACTAATTCAGTCTCCTGACTACTTAGAAGTCTGCTCAGACCTTTTATTTCTCTGCGATCCAGTCTGGGCAGGCTGCGTGTTTCTAGGGATCTGTGCAGTTCACCCAGGTCATCCAGACGTCATTGGTTCACCACCTGCCCCTTAACCATTTTTACTTCCGTCGAATCGGTAGTCATGGCGCCACTTACATTTCTGATTTTATGAAATTGAGTTTCCTCTCTCTTTTCTTAATCAAGGTAAAGGTGTGTCAATTTTGTAGATCTTTTTAAAGAATCAACTCTTTGTTTTGATGTTTTTTTTCCATTCTCTATTTATCTCTGATCTAATCTTTATTTTTTTCTTTGCCGGCTTTCAGTTTAGTTTTGTAGGTTCCTTAAGGTATAAAGTTAGGTTGGTTTGAGACCTTTCATTTTTAATGTCAGCGTTTGTAGCTGGAAATCTCACCTTTGGCACTGCGTTTGCAGCATCCCGTAAGTCTGGGTGTGTTGCATTTGCAGTTTGATTTGTCTCAAGGTGTTTTCTAATTTCCTTTGTGATCTCTTCTTTGACCCATTGGTTAAGAGTGTGTTGTTCAATATCCACATATTTGTGAATTTTCCAGGTTTTTTCTTCTGCTGTTGAGTTCTAGTTTCATTTCTTGTGAACAGAAAAGATACCTTGTATGATTTCAATATTTAAAAAATTTTTAAGACCACCCCACACTGTGTGTTTACTTGTTTGAGGGCAGGGATGTGTCTGTTTTTGTTCATTGTTTTATCTTCAGTATCTAGAACAGGGCCTGGCAGATGGTACTTGATAAATATTTGCCAAATGAGAAAAAGACTGACCTTTTAGTACAGTGATTGTGCATCTTAGATTTTCCAGGGCATAGTTGACCCGAGATAGTCTGGCCTATTGTCAAATTATGGAGTTATAATGTTTGAATGAAAAATGCGATCGTGTGTGTTTATGTCGTATGATCATTCCACGTTGGATATGCTCTGGTTCCCATAACCCACCAGGCCTGGCGCACAGGGGGAGCTCCCCAGCCATCTGTGGATGAATTGAACGAAGACCTTCAGTAGCATCTCGGTCCAGCCTCTTTCTGCCCGTGACCTAACTGTTGCTTTACAGGCCATGGTTAATGATTCCAGACCCTGGGATTCTGCAAGGACTGTGACTCATAGCAGTCATTTCCAGAACAGAAATTTCCTTGGGGTGAAATGATCAAAGCCTTGGGCTAACTGGTTTTAATTAAATGTAATTCATTGAATTTGGCTTGGTTAATAACTGACCATTGCAATTAGAAAGTAATTCAGTGAATGCCTGTTGTGTCTGGGTAAGGAAATGAAATGGCTTAAATTCTGTTGACATTAACGTTGACTCTCTGTGATCTCGGCGCTCAGGATTTGACCCTGAAGCATGGCTGGCGAACTGGAGCCATCATCCCCGAGTTACGGTCCGAGCTCAAAATCATGAACACGGAGCAGTACATCCAGACCATGACCTGGCTGCAGACCCTGACCGGCCTGCTGGAGCAAATGCAGGTTTGGGACCTTTTCCTCTCCTACTCTTTCTGTAGCCGGAAGTGAGTCCACTGGTCAAAGGTAATTGAAGTATTTATTATTTAATTGTGGTTATAAAGTTGGAGGCATAAGTCATCCAGCAGAATAACTACTGGGATTATTTTGCCCTGAAGAGTTTTGCCAGTTTCCCTGGCAACTGGCCTTTAAAAATGCCCCCAGAGCCATTTGGAGGAAGAGCTTCGTGGGGCCCACGCACAGGTGTCTGCCTACGTCCCTCTGGCAGGTCCCCCGTCCTCACTTTCCTGTTAAAGCCCCCTTGGGGGATGTCCAGTGGGGCAGTGGGATCCGAGAAGCCCTGCCACTGTTGGGGTCTAGTCCTGGTCCTGCCTTTAGCCTGCAGTGGTCTTCCCTGTTCTGGGCCTCAGTTTCCCCTTCTGTACAATGAAGCATCCTGTGGATCGAACACTTTGGGCTAGGCACCACGGCTTCCTGGAAAGCCTCGAAGCAAGAGTTAGGGTCCCTGTGTGCAGTCTCCATTTGGTTTTGAAGGTGACACCGACAATGAGCTGGCTCACTGGAGAGCAGTGGCGGGTTTTGCCTTCCCATAAGTCACGTGGCCAGTTTCCTGGCCTGTGAAGATGCCCCTGTGTGGCAGCCGTGACCGCCTGTCCAATCTCTTGAGGCACCGTGCTTTCTCGCTTGGTTCAGCTGCCCGGGCCCTCAGCCGTCTCAGCATGCGTGCCAACTCTTTCAGGCTAAGGGGCACAGAGGCCCACTCTCTGTGCTCACGCAGCTTCTGCCCATGGCCTGCCAGCTCGCTGTGGACATGGCCAGGGAAGTGCTTTGTCTGGCAAAGCTGGCAGCCTGCATGGAGGCGGCTGGCAGTGAGCTCTGGTGGAGCTGCGAGGGGTGGCAGGCCCGGTCCTCACTCCAGGGCGCTCCTGTTGCAGAGCATGGGGCGTGCACGCCCTCCTGTCTTGCTTCCATGTGCTCAGCTCCATTGGTTCTGGGCTCTTCTCTAACAAGGATTCGTTCTGTTTCCTCACTGTGCTCATCTGTGAGATGATTTTCTAAAAATAAAAGGCATCCATTCTGGGTTAATAAAGCCTCGAGTCTGTGCACAGGTCATACAGGAATTATAGTTACTCTTTTTTTAAATTTTTAAATTTTTATTTATTTATTTTTTAAGATTTTGTTTATTTACTTTCAGAGAGGGAAGGGAGGGAGAAAGAGAGAGAGAGAAACATCAATGTGCGGTTGCTGGGGGCCATGGCCTGCAACCCAGGCATGTGCCCTGACTAAGAATCGAACCTGCGACACTTAGGTTCACAGCCCGTGCTCAATCCACTGAGCTACGCCAGCCAGGGCATAACTACTCTTTATATGTACGCACACACAACCTTATACAGGGTCCTGCAGAAGTGCCACTGGGGAGTGTGGTTGGTAGGGTACGTGAATGTGTTGCACGAGATGGACAGCAATTTGAGCATTTCACCTAAAACATATGGTGTGCTTCAGTGTGATGTTATGTTACCGAGTTACATGCTTATGATTTTATAATAAAAGATTTGGTATAGACTACCAGCTCATAAAAAAGGGACGTTATTTGTGCCAGACCCTATATATATGTATGTATATATTATGTGTATGTATGTGTGTGAACATATGTATATGCATATGTATGTACATGTATAAATATATTACATGTGACACTCTACAGATGTTTGATTTCGCCACATCCTTTGTAGAGTTTAAATTCTGTGGTGAGTAATTTGCTGATTAAAATGTCAAAGCTCATTAAAACTAGGCTCACAAAACCGTCACCATCCCCACAAGTGCCGGGCCAGTCTCCCGGTGCCCCACTGACGCACCAGGAGGAGCATCAGCGTTGCTGCTCCCTGGCGGTGCAGGCCGTGTGCCGGGCGAGGACCCCACGCTGCAAGCTCAGGGCTGGGTCGGCGAGGCAGAGGCCCCGAGCTGGCGAGCGGGGCAGACGTGGTGAACAGAAGGGCCATGGCTCCCACATCAGAAGCAGATGGTTTGCTTGTTTGGTCTTTTTCTCTGGGTCCCACGGCTGCCCCGTGACCGTGAATTGCAGGGAGCCCACCTGTCCCCTGCGATCACGTGCGCCTCCGACTCTGGCTGAGCGTTTGTTTCTGTTCAGCCACAGGAGCCTTGTGGAGAGACGGGTGAGATTCCCATTGTCAGGTTGGGGGCAGTCGCCGTTTTCTGGGTGCCTTTTGCTCATAGTTCAGCTCAGCTAGAGAATTCTCTGCTTTTCCACCTGTTTGGGGGGCTCTACCTTTTTTTTTTTTTGCCTTTTACAGAAAACATTTTTTTCCTTAGATATGTTAAAAGATAATACAATATTAAGGAAGCCAATTTAAAATAAATTATAGTTTTACTGCCCTTGCACAAATTAAGAAAAATTTCCGTGTTAATTTCTTAATATATGCACATATTTTTGCATGCTTCCAAAACTGCTGTTTCTCTGTAACTGCCATTTTTATGTCGATGCATATATGTAATATATGTAAGAGATAGTCTGTATTAAGTATATGTTTATGTAGGTAATACATGTGTGTAATGGATACATACTGAGGTCTATCCAGAAAAAGTCCAGCCACTGTTAATATAATGAGAATGGTTTGTATGATGTAACCTGGCAGCCAAGGAGAGTGGACTGGAATGAACATGCTTGAACAACGACAACTTCACAGTACTAGTCAGTGGGAGTGAGCCATGTGTACTGTGTGGCTGTCGCAGTCAAAATGAGTGAGTAGAGCAATGAGTCTGCATCAAATTTTGCATTTAGCTTGAACGTCCTTCACAGAAACTATTCCGATGGTTGAGAAGGCTTTAGGGGACGATGCAGTGAGTGCAGCTGTGGGCAACTGGTGATTGGCAGCCTCATCACAACGACGTACCTGCTCATGCATTACGTCTCGTGCAGAATTTTTTGGTGAAACATCAAATCACCCAGGTGACTCAGCCCACCTTCAGCCCAGATTTGGTACCCTGAGACTTCTGGCTTTTCCAAAAACTAAAATCACTTTGAAACAGAAGAGATTTCAGACCATTGATGAGATTCAGGAAAATATGATGGGGCAGCTGATGGTGATTGGGAGAACTGTGTGAGGTCCCAAGGTGCCCATTTTGAAGGGGACTGAGGTATCATTGTCCTGTGTACAATGTTTCTTGTATCTTCCTCAGTAAATGTCTCTATTTTTCATATTACATGGCTGGATACTTTCTGGACAGACCTCGTATTTTATGTGGATATGTGTGTATTATGTTTTTACATAGCTTTTAACAGTACTTTCATATCTCTAGTTTAATAGTGACCTTGTTTAATACCTTCATAACATTCCATTTAACTTGTTAAACCATATTTCTCTTGTTGGACATTTCAAAACTATTTGGGTAAAGAAGGGAGGGTTGCAACTGGGAAATCTGAAAATGTATTTTTCATGCAAGTGCCTGTCTCTTAGACTTGGATAAAATTTCTCCAAGAAAAGCTGCCTGTTAAAAAATTCTCGTTACCTAGTGTCCCAGGTTCGATTCTCAGCCAGGGTACATGCCTGGGTTGCAGGCCATAACCCCTAGCAACCGCACATTGATGTTTCTCTCTCTCTCTCTCTATCTCCCTCCCTTCCCTCTCTAAAAATAAATAAATAAAATATATATAAAAAAACCTCCCTCATTAAAAAAAAGATGCTTCATGCTTAAAAAAAATTCAAAAAAAAATTCTAGTGAGTTTATTTGCCTCCAGAACATTCTCGATAATTAGCTGTGTCCTGCAGGTTCACAGAGATGCGGAGTCCCAGCTGGTGTTGCAGGAGTGGAAAAAGGAGAGGAAGGAGATGAGGTAAGCGCAGCCCACTGGGCACGTAGGGAGTCCGCCCCCTGTCTGCATGTGCTCAGCCCGCACACCACACCTGCCCGCGCACACTTCCAAACATCCTTTTTTAGCTCCCAGGTGTGACTGTGGCCGCCCCAGTGTCCAGAACCACCCACCTGCTGTCAGTGAGTGACAGGTGACATTTCCTTGAGGCAGCAGTGACCTCTCTCTCACCTCCTGCCCTTGCATTTGCTTCTGTTTTGAAAATCAAACAGGTGTGCTCTCCTTTCTCTCACCTAAACAGCCGCACACACCCTATCTCGGTGCCACGTGCCCTGCCAGGCCCTGCTGGATTTAAAAGCTGTGGGAGAAGGAGCCATTCCTTCCCACCCCTGCCTGCCTGTCTTTCCTGTTCAGGCAGCTGGGCAGCTGGAGGCCCACTTGTTGGTGATGCCACCTAACAGCGGGGCTCCTGGGTCAGCATTGGAGGCTGGCCCTGAGCCACAGTGCGTTTCTGGGGCTCTTCCAGCCCTGGTGCTTATTTGTCACCACGGCTGTGCCAGGAGTGTGCCCGGGCTCAGTGTCGTCATGTGCACATCCGCTCTCAGAAGAGCTTGCGGGGTGTGCATCTTGAGGGAACGGGGGTTCAAGGGGCCCTGGGCAGGCGCGCCTCGCTGAGAGGACACTGTGCACACGATCATTTCTGCTCTTGTGCCTGGCCTCCCCTGCCCCAGGCCCAGTGTCTCCAAGGTGTGGAAGGAGTGGTCACTGCCTGGGTTCTGGCCGCTGAGTAGGGCATGGAGCAGGGACAGAGCCCCTCCCTCGGGCTGCAGAAGCCGTGGAGGTGCTGGCTCCATCCTCCCCTCTCCCGGTCGGGGCCTGGGCTGTCGGGTGCTTGTTCTAACTTGGTTGTTACTCCAACATTGGGATAACAATGTTGGGTGAGGTGAGAGGGTGATGGGCAGATAGTGTGATTTGACTCTGGGCCCCTCGCCCCTGAAGGCCATACCATACCCGGGCGCTACACTCCAGGGACCTCGGATTATTAGATAAAGGGACCATTCCGCCCACCAGGGATTTTTGTTTTGACTTTGAGTTTCTAACAATTTCATATCTCAATGAGATTTTTTAGTAAAAGTTTAAATGCCACTTATGTCACTCCACCCACAGACCTGAGTTCTTTTACTTCTCTGTTTCTTGATCGTCAGCATCTACTGCCATTGTGTGATGACACAGCTGCTCCCAGCTAGTGGCTTTTGTCACACAGGTGCATGAATGATGATGTGTTTTGCTGGGTTTGTAAATGATTCACAGGCATGCGTTTTTTAGCCACTTTGCTGGAATATTCTGTGTCCAGGAGTCCTAGCCATCAGATGGCACGCATAATCTGTGTGCATGTGATGGGGTTTGATTTACACACAGATACACGTGTACACACCTGCAGGGGCCTCGAGTCCGGGGTGCAGTGCACAGCCTTGCAGAATGCTTGTCATCCGGGCTCCACGGAGGCTGTGCGGTGTTGGAGGCCGAGTAATGTGTGGTGGAGGTTTATCTACGTCACTATAAAAGAATCCTTCATTTCTCAGCTATCAAAGTGCTTTACAGTTCACAATATCTCTTATTTTTTTTGCCTTACTTAGTTTTCACTGTAACCTTACAGATAGGGGGTCTTGATCCCGGTCTGTAGATGAGGGAGGTTTGGAGACTGTGTGAACACCCCTGCCTCTCTCTGTACTTTCAGAAGCAGCTCCTGCTTCTCTGGTTGTTTGGAAGTGTGGTGTGCGGACTTAGAGGGGCACGCACGTAGAACTGGAGCCTCAAACTGTACTCTCTGAGGGCTCCGTGGGCAGTGGGACCACTCATTTGGTTGGATGGATGGATGTACAGATGGTTTTTCTGATGAGAAGTTGAGGCTGCTTCTAGGCTAATGTCTCTCCCCAAATGAGTCCTACAAAAATGGAAAAGCGATGTTAGTGTCAGTGACTTTGACCAAACAGACTGTGTTGAGTCACTCTTTGCCATGCCCCTGTTTTCTCGACCCTTCAGAGAGATGACCAAAAGTTTCTTCAACGCCCAGTTCGGAAGCTTGTTCCGCACAGACCAGAACCCGACCTACTTCCTGAGGCGGCTGTCGCGGTTCGCCGACATCTACATGGCGTCTCTAAGCTGCCTGTTGAACTACGATGTCAGCCACACGTTCTACCCCAGGAGGACTCCGCTGCAGCACGAGCTCCCCGCGTGGTCCGAGGGGCCCCACGCCTGCCGCCTGCCCCTCCTGCAGGAGGCCCAGGCCAAGTAACCCGGCGCTCACCTGCAGACACAGCCAGAAACGGCCCCGGCCCCAGCTTGGGCGGACACCACGGGGCTGACTTTGCGTGGATATGAGTGTTGCTTTCGGAAAAGACACTGATACGCCTTTTGATATTTATTTCATATCTCCTGGAGAATACTGCCCAGGTTGTTGAGACAGAAGATAGCGCACCGGTCCCACCTTCCGGCACGCGTCGGGCTGAATGGCGAGTGGCGCACGGAAGCTCTGCGATCAGTCTTCTTGTTGGCCGAGGCGCTGTAACTGGTGCAGTTGTCCAGGGACAGGTGAGGCGTCTCGATGCCATCTCCGCATTCCCGCAGGTGAAGTTTCAAACCTCTTCCTGACCCTGCCCTGGACAACACACTGAACACTCGCAGGCAGTGTGCTGTGGGGATGGAGTGGCACAGGGGCACGCAGCGGTAAACTGCCCGTGGAAAGCCAGTGATTTAGTGAGCTCTGCAGCAGCAAACACGGCGGTGCATTAGCAGAGGCGATCGCCACGCAGCAGCCGGTCCCCCAGCCTTGTGGTCGCACGGCTTTGGCGTTCTGGTGCATCACTTGGAAGAGAAAAGAACAAGAGAAGGGACAAGTCCTTAGGGATCGTCCTCAGTATCCGCTTCCTGTGTCCTGACGCATGCTGGGGAAGGACAGATGGTGCCACAAGTGATGGGCGGGTTCGCTCTTTTTCCCAGAGAAGGACAGAGGAGCTTCTGGCTACATTTCCGGCTGGCAGAACAGAGCAGACTCGGGAGACAAAGGCTGTGAGCAACAAGCAGGCCAGAGCCGATGCTTGGCGGTGGGTGCCCTGAAAATGCCACCCGTGTGTTGTTGATGTGCTCATTGGAGGACAGAAAATGAAACAGAAAGAAAAAAACCCTTGTAATGAAACGCCGTGCCAGGCCCCTCCCTGGGTTGTGTCGGCATTTCCAGAAACTGCCCTTTTCTGGGGGCTGCGAACCTGGCCCCCTCGCTCGTGTCTTGTCGGGGAGACATGGGCCTGCGTGCAGCCCTCGCCGCTTGGCCACCTCCCGCCCGCTGCTCTCCCAGCTTCCTTTCCCGCCCTGTTCAAGCGGCTCTTTGGGGGTCGGGGGGGGGGGCGGGGTTCTGCAGGTGTCTGTGTAAGCTGGGGGACGATAAAGGGCATTGAATCTAAGAGAAAAGCGTTAGAAATGACTTAGCTAACGGAGTATTTCTCACATGTGTCTAAGGACAATGCAAGTGACCTCCATTCTTAGACCTGAAGCGTGGCAGGTACAGGAAGGAGGCTTGTGGAGAGTGCTTGCTGACTGAGCATTTTTAGCTCAGTAATAAGTGTATCTCTTGGAACCAGCTCTTGACACAGTGCTAGCTTGGCATCCCGTGGGCTGCCCGCAGAAGGCAGGTATTAAACGAGTTCTGTAGCATGCTCTGTGATGCCGCCTGGTGTAATGGGGTTTTACTTGTGATGTTCTCTTGTATTTAACTACACTGCTGAAGGTGGCCACATAGACGCAGTAGGCCCAATCAGTTGGGCCCCTTCTTTTCTGCTAAGTTTTGTTGCAAACACAGTGGTCCGTTCCTTTTCTGGGAAGGAACAGGCTTTTGTTTACTGTTGGTTAGCTCCTAGGTGGTTTAAGCATTAGAGTTCATTGGAGACTGGCATTTATGGGGTGCAGGTGGGTGCCCAGAACTGCTCAGTGTTGGGGTCCTTGGAAGGACACGCTGGTGCTCTCGGCTTCTGCTTTGGAGATGTTGAGTGAGGAAGCAGTGATTTTTTAAAAAAATTTCTTAGTTCTTATCTAATTGGATATTCACTGGATGTCTCCTAGCTGCCAGTTACAGGGTATTTCATTTATTTTGTTTACTCGAGAATGAAGTAGACTGTTTTTAAAACCTGATTTCATGGGGGCCCAGGTGAGGTGCGGCAGGCCTCGGGGGGAAGAAACACATTTTCTGGGTATGAATAATGAATTTTGCAGTTTATTACTAGTTAAGTTGCGCCTGTGGGCCACCGAACGGGCCAGTACTGCGATCTGCCATGTGCGCCTGTCTCGGCAGGGCCCCAGAAGGCGTGCCTGGCAGGCAGCAGACCTGCGCCCGGGCCTGCAGCTCAGGCCGGGCAGCCGCCTCCGCATGAAGGGCGGTCCGTGCTCTGTCATTGTCAGGACTCCACGGGGACTCACCGCGCTGCCCCGGGCATTGTGTTCCTTCCAGTTCCTTCTCTCGGGCACCGCCTGGTGAGCAAGGCTGTTGGTGCACGGGAAGTGAGTCTGTTTTCCACCCTTCAAAATAGCAATGGGGAAAGCGACCGGAATAAAATTAGTTTGCACATTTAAAAATATTTTACATTTTTAGCATTGGCTAGACGGATTTTCTCAGAATCACGGGAACAAAAATTTATAGTCCAAGGCAGACCGTGCCAGCCAGACGCAGGGCGCGCGGTGCCTGCAGCGGGTCGTCTTGGGAGAGACCTGCCCAGCCAGTTTGCCGGAGTTGCTTCTGTAGATGAAACTTTGCTTTTTAAGTATTTTAGGATCTTGGCTTAGAGCTCCCATGTGTCCTCCTGACATCGTCTCTCTCTCTCTCTCTTTAAATGCTCTTTTGCTGCTGTTGCCATCATTGCCATGTAACATCAACCACCTGTTGCTGATGCGGGGCCCATCTCAGACTAAATTACTAGTTGCTTTGAATGCATTGGCCCTCTTCATTATTGCAAAGGAGAAATGGAAAGCAGTCTCTCCACCTAGCTAATTTGGCTTTGGATGAACTAAATGGGTTTTCCTCCCTGAAGGCCTTTGAATCAACAGAGAGCTGGGCTCAGTGTTGGAACTGAATTCCACTACGCCGAACACGTGGTTGCTGCCAAAGACCCACTTGGGGGCTCTTGTCTAGAATGCTCTAAGAGTAAATTTGGCCAGAGGCAGGGTTCCTTGATTGCTCTATTCAACCATGAGGGAGCCTCTGCGCTGCCCTCTTATTATCAATTTCCTCTTGTACCAATTTTCTTGTTTATTTTCTCTTTTATTTGCCTTAGCATTTGGGAGCTTGGCTCCAAGGTCAGTTAACCTCTCATATCCTAGTGGCTTAAGGAAAGGAAAGGGAGTTAAGTTTCTTTGATGCGGGGTGGGGGTGGGGGTGTCCATGAATTTTTCCTGTACAGGGCCAGATAGTAAGTATTTTCGGCTTTGCAGGCCATGTTCTGTCCCCACTACTGTAGGAGTGGACACAGCTGCGTTTCATTACAGCTTGATTTATAAAAGCAGGCCGCAGGCTGCATTTGGCCCTTGGGTCGTAGTTTGCCACCCCTACTCTAACGGCAAAAAAGCGTGTCCATGAACAGCCTAATTGTGGGGCAGACAGTAGGGAGGAGTTCCCTGGGTGAGTGCCCCATGTTCCCCTGGGAGCTACTCTCCGGGCGTAGTTACTTACACGGCCAGTGTGCGATGGAGCTGCTGGGCTCGGGCACCAGTTGAATATACCTCTTATTTTAGTTGTTTGTGACCGTGCTCATCACAGGTGATGGGCTTGGCTGCTCAGATGACCCTCAGGACCGAAGGACTGAGTCCCCCAGCTGCTGGGTACTCTGGCAGCCCTCTGGGGGCATGTCCTGATGAAAAGCCCTGCCTCCACCGGTCAAGGTCAGTCTGCCTCCTCTGAGCGGCTCCCTTCCCTTCTTCACCTCCCTTCCCTTCCCAGGTGTGGACCCCCAGAACACACCCTGTAAACTTGCATGTGCATCTGCATCCCAGCAGCGCCCACTTTCCGGGGGACCCCCCGCCCCGCCGCAGCGCTCCTGTGCTTTTCCAGGGCTGCGGGAGTGAAGTCGGACTTGGGAAACTGTTTTCTCACCGTGTGGCAGGATGACAGATGGTGCCTGCGGGAGAGCAGGCGCCACAAATGTGAACTAGGTAGACCTCCTATTTATTCTGAATGTGTGTTTGCTATTTATTTGAAATGCTGATTTTGTTATATGATATTGAATTTACTGCCAAATAAAAGAGTATTGTCTCATCCAGTTCATTGTAAGTCATTCGTTTTTGTGTGCTTACGTTGGTGGCAAAGCCATAACAAATTCCAATATAACCAGAAAGGACCATCCCTGTGGGAGGGGGAAGTTAGGGTTCAGTGCCCACCCCTCATCCCTTCCCGCCCAGCAAAGCACACTCGCACGTTTTCAGAGCTCGAAGACAGAGAAGTTAAGCCACAGACAGAAAATCGGTGTGAGCTTGGCTGTAGGCGCCCTCCCTGGAATTTCTTTTCTCCCACAGACAGTTCCCTCCTTGAGAATGGGTGAAGATCGTGGCCCACATGTTTGTCTGCCATTAAATTACCGGGACAGCTGGAAATTGGACGCAGTGTTCTAAGGGAAGAAAATACTGAATAATACAGAATTAGGAGCGAGTGCTATGAAGTCAGATCACTACTGGGTTTTGGATACATTTAAATATTTTTGAAGAGGTTTTTTTTTTTTAACACCTGTTTAAACATGTGTGTTTGTATTTGAACACCTTGGTATCCTTGACCTCTCACTCTGCCAGGACCTTACTCGCATTCCCTTCTGCATGCATAGCCTGCTCTTTTCCTTCCAGTCACTTGCCTTTGGGTGCCTGGGCTGGTGGTATTGGCGGACCCACCGCAAAGCTGTGCCACGTTCTTGCTGGGGAGCGACTTCCTGGAAAGGTGGTTTCCCTCCCACCATGGCGTGTCCTCCTAGAGGAGATGGTAGGCTCTTCCTTTGCCTGGAACTGGGACTTCTTCCCTCTGCTGGAGCTGTGGAAAGCTTACAAGACACTCTGGCGTTTCTGGAACTTTGGACTTGACACAGCAAAAACATAGCAAAACCCCCCGATGATGTGGGACAAGCTATGCGGGCTGTGAGGGCCACAGAGAGGAGTTGGAGAGCCGCCCTGCCCAGCCCGGCCTTGCATTTCTGCACCCCCGCAGAGATTCCCATGCCCGGCCAGTGCTACCCTCACCCCGGGGCAGTTTGGAAATGTGCGGTGGGTGGGTCGGAGGGTGTTTGGTTGTCACAGTCATGGGAGGGGGGCACTGTGCGGGCAGGAACCTGGTGTCGTGGGCATTCTGCTCAGCGTGGAGAGTCCTGCACATCACTGCTAAAATCCAGAGCGTTTTCATCACAGAAAAATACATCCCACACCTCGTGGCGGCTAACTCCATTCTGCCCTGCTCCAGTCCCTGGAAACTGAGAATCAACCTTCTGTCTCTGAACTTGCCTATTCTGGAAATTGCATGTGCATGGAATTGTGCCATAGGTGGTCTAGTGTGTTCTGGGTTCACCCATGGTGTTGCATGTTTCAGCACTTAGGTCCCTTAAGTGCTCTTTAGGTCCCTTTTCGGGTGGAATGGCATTTCATTCTTGGACATACACAATGTGGTTGTCCATTCATCAGCTGATGGGCATTTGCATTGCTTCTATTTTTTTGTGCTATTGGGAATGATGCTATTCTGAACATTTTATATTTATATATATATGTGGACATGTTTTCGTCTCTCGTGGGTATATATGTACCTTGGAGTGAAGTTTCTGGCTCACATGGTATCTCTGTGTTTAACTTTCAGAGGAACTGCCAAATTTTCTGCAGTGTGGTACCCTGTTTGGGCTGGACAGCCCCCCAGCAGGGGATGAGGGCTGCGGTCCCTTCACACCCTCGCGGCACTCATCATTGTCTGCTTGCAGCCATCCTAGTGGTTGGGGATTGGTGTCATTGTGGTTTATTGTGTCTTCTTAACACACACACAGACAAAACAGAATTAAGAAGAGTTGAGAGGCAGAGATTGGCTGCTGAAAAGACCCAAATTAGGGCCAGTAAGTGGATTTTACCTTCAAAGCTTGACTCCTTCAGTGGCAAAGAGCATTTTTGTTTGTTTCCCAAAACACTAGATTTGTTCCATGGGCTTTATTTCTGTTCCATAAACATTTATTGAGCACATTGCATGGGCCAGACACCGTGCTAAGGGCTGAGATACAAGATGAATGAGGCAGGTGCCTGCCTTTGGGAGCTTACAATCTAATAGGTAAGTAAGACAAGGGCACAGTTACTATCGAGTTGGGTAGAAGGTAGGAGGAGCATCTAAGGGCACACAGGAAGGACAGCCGAAGGTCAGAGGAGGGAGAAGTCCCCTGAGCTGGTGAATGGTGGATCTCACAGGGTCCCTTGCCCACAGAAACAAAACAGTCCCCCAGATGGAGCGAAGAGATGAGGTACGGCGTGAGTGCTTCATGGACTTCAGAAGGCTAAAGGACTTTCCGGTCCCCGGAGGCAGTGGGGGCCGAGGATTCACAGTTGACGGCCTCTGCGAGGAGGAGGAGGCTGCTGGAGCCCTGGTGGCAGGAGCGGGGCTGGGCCCTCACAGCGCCCCCAGGGGGTCACTGCCCTCCAGCTGCTGGTCTCCGGGGGAGTCCTGCGGAAGAGAGGTCTGTGAACACGCTGGAGGGCCCAGGGCCTTCCCGGGCTGAGCATCTCCTTTGGCCACGGGTCTGAGACCCAGATGGGGTCAGGACACACTACCCCCAAATAGGACACCTTGGCATATTCAATGTCTTAAGCTGAAAGAATTGTTTAAAATATGGCAGCAGTAGGGAGGTCATTCTGACCTCCTCCCCTAATGTCCCCAACACAGGTCATAAAACTTCCATGTGAAGGTCCCCTCCTTGCCCCAGGAGGGAAGAAGACACCCTTACCACCGGAGATGAGGAATGTGGGGCCAGAAAACCTGTACAAACCAGCCTTGTTCAACCAGCCTTGTTCAACCACCCCTATCTCCCTAGTTAGGTCTTCGCCATGTACTACCCGGGCCCAAACCTCCTTGTCTTACCAATTCTTCACAAACGTATTGTTTCTTTATTTAAAAGGCATAAAAGCTTCCTGCTCTGGTCACTTCTTTGGGTCTTCATTCTCTTGGGAAGCCTCTCATTTACATGTAAACACTCAATAAAATGATGATATGCTTTTCTCCCATGAATCTGTCTATGTCGGTTTACTTTTCAGACCCAGCCAGGGTCTCTGAAAGGGAAAACGCTTCCCTCCTCTGGAGCCTAAAATACGACTCTCCTCCAAGAGCCCGTGCACACACGTGGTGGGAACGCTCACGCCTCGTGTTGGGAGGCCAGATGGTCTGGTGGTTAGGGGCCCCGCTCTGGGGTCAGCTGCTGCTGTTGGAAGCTTGCTTGTGTGCCCTGGACAGATTACTTACACTCAGCTGTAGTTCCCTCACCTATAAAAAGTCGTAATAGGTGTGAGGATTGAATCAGATACTACATTAAGAAAGGTGTAAGCACCCCACAAATGGTGGCTATTCCTGTGATTACCATAAGACTCCTTTTAGGTTGAAAATGCATCTTCAGCCAGGGGTGGTCCTTGGGCATCTGAGAGAGTTAGTCATAAACGCTACTCCCAAGGCCGCTGCCGAAGCTTCCCGCTGGCTTTCTCTCTGACGAGCACTGGAACTTTGTTAATTAGCATAAAGCACGTGTTTGAGATGTGTGGGTTGGCTACAGATACAAAAGGCATGAGATTCTAGCACGTCTCTTTTGGGATGGCGCCCTTGGCGTAGGATTCCTGTTACTGGAACATTTTTGCCACCTGGGCTCCTCAGAAGGTCTAGATGAATCCTGCATCTAGGATACTCTCTCACCTGCCTCAGGTGCATCTAATGCACAGTGCTGACGGAGCCCTTAGCTGAGAAGGCATGGAGCATGGTGAGCAGGATGGGTGACTTTTCCTCTGCTGTTTAAGTGAGGCTGATTTCAGCGTCATGCTTGCAGAAATAAAATATTAATACATGCAACCTAGCTGGGCTTACCCTTGCAATTTAGACTAGAAAGGCTCACATGGGTCTGGTTAAAAAACAAAACAGGATTTATGACGTAGTTACTTTCCAATCTGTCACAACCACAGCGCCACAGGCACTCGGAGCCACAGGTCTGCATGTTTGGCTCGCTGCCGACAAGTGACGTCTATGGCGCTATACGAGTTTAAAATGGTGCAATAAAATACCAAATATACTTTTGTAATGTTCCAATGCAGCTTACAAAAATTCAGCAACCATAATATAGTCTGTGGGGCAAGGGACAGCATACATCTGCGCAAGAAACAATTACAGCAACTCTCTGGGCTTGGTTACTATTGCAGGAAGGTTCTAGTCGCACACAAGCCAAGTATTTCCTGAGACCTGAGTGAGGACGTCAGCTCGGTCTGCTGAGGTACAAAAGGGCGGTTGGCACATGAGCTGCCAGCTTCTCTTGTGTTTATATAGAAGGAAGAATTAACTTTTATCCCTAGCTTCTCGGTCCAGACCTGGAGATACAAGCAGGGTGCACTTTCCACATTCAGTGTGCCTGGGGTCCCTGCCATGGGGTCCCCCCCAGGTTGAAGTCAGTGGAAGCCCCATCTAAGCTCAAGGATCACTAGCTCCAGAAACAAACGGTCCTCTTCTGGAAAGCCAGGGCAGAGCGTGCTCCCCTGCATGTGAAAGACCTCACCAACGGAACGCAGCTTCAAAGGCCGGAAGCTGCTCTGACAACAGGCCATGTAAATATACGTTTAATGCATAACCAAGGAAACATACATTTCAGAGGCTTTGTGTCCTATTTCCCAGCAGCAACCTCACAAATATTTGCAGCAGAATTTAGCTCATTCCTTCTCCTGGTGACATGTCACCTGATCATGAGGTTGGCGTGGGGCAACCTCTGGTCTCCCCTGCTTCCAACTGCTGGGGCTTCTGCCTCCCACCCAGAGGAACCAGGGAGCACCGAACAACCACATGGCTTCCCTCTGCTCGCAACACTGGCGTGTGGGCTTGTTGCCCCAGACACGTCCTAGAGGTGAGCTTTTCTCGGTGTGAAGCTTTCCACGGAGGGTTGCTGACAGACATCGCTCCCCTGTGCCCCAGGGGAGCCTGTTCCTAGATAAATAATGCAAACTCACCAGGAAGGGGTCGTAGGAAGGCTCTGGGGGAGCCGAGGTCGTGCTCTCATACAGGGGATTCGAGATA